TCTCTACAATTCTAGAACTCTATAATTTTAAAGTATTGCTTTCTAATTACCTGCCATGATTGCACACGGTGAAATAGTCTGACCCTTTCTTCCAATCCTCTATGTTTGGAGATGGATTTGTAGATGGTGTTCAAAGCATGCGCCACAGCATAGACAGCATTGTAGACGTTGTAGCTGTGGCCAGTCATGTCCATTTCAAACAGAATTCCAGGAAGGTTCTCCAGCTTCTCCTCCCCAGTGCAGATGATTTCATTTTCATTCCCCTCCTCTGACTCTTCAGACATTTTTAATAAACAGCCGAATGCCTGTTTCCAGAACTCCTGGATAAAGCCATCTCGTTCTGCCCAGAAAGGGCTCAGCTTCTGAATGAACCTTTGGAATCCTGATGGCTGATTTGTGTGGACTGTGATGGATATGGAACCGTGAAATGCTTGTACCTCCCAATTCTTCTCCATAGAGTGTGATGCAAAATCCCAGTGGGATGTAATAATCCACACTTTGCCCAAAGTTGGAAAAGAGAATAAGGGTGATACAAATATCAACATTCTCAGAACCTGAAAGGATGGAGGTTCTCCATAAACAACGAACACAGTTGGGTTTTCCTCAAAGACCATTGCATAGGTTCCTAAATGCTGTAAAGCAAAGTCTATCATCTCATCCACATAATTCAATTTTGGTATTCTTACTATATAGGGCATAACAGATGCCATTAGGGGAAAGGATTGGGACCATTGTCTTTAAAAACCTGTCCCCTCTGTCATCTTCCACAGCCCAAAGCCCAATCCATGTCCACTTAAAATGCTGAAGTAATCGCACAATCCCTGTGTATTGGTGGGCTTCATTTGGCACCATCTGATACAAAAATGGGAAGAACTTTTTGACACCTTTTAGTGGCAGAAATGATCCATAAGTCAGCTGAAATAAAATTAATAAGCATTTTTCAGATGGGTTACAAGCATTTACTTCATAGATTTCCGTATTAGAAAGCAGTCCTGTAGTCCATCTCATTCAATGTCCTGTGAAAATTCAGATGGGGTGACCCTGCATGAGAACCTGACTATCTTTGGTCGTGAGCCACATTGAGCCACTTGTCTCAGGCAGCAGATTAGGAAGGCTGCTGCCACAAAAATGCCCCACTGGGCTGTTTGTCTCAGCTCCCTACACTGTCCATCAGAGCCCCAGCTACACTAATCAATCACTTCCACTCCCTGTTTCCAGAACCTGTAGAAGTAATATCTGAGTTGTGTGTTTGGGGACATTGCACACAGATGCAACTGGGAGATTCTTGTAGGGTTCTTCACCAGCTTGAAGGCTTTGGGACTCAGTGAAGGTTTCCCTGGTGTGGCTTATCTCTTTCTGAGACAATTGGAGTTACTTAAAATATGTTGTGAGTGTAAGTAGGTTCTGTTTGGCATCATGAAGGCCCAACAGAGACTCCATTTCCCCAGGGCCAGGGTCTTGCAAAAGAACAATGTCAAACAAAAATTGATGATCTCCTTCTACCGGTCAACAATAGAAAGTGTCCTTTCATGCTGTATTACAGTGTGGTACGCTGGTTTGACAGCCATGGACAGAAAGTCCCTACAGAGGGTGGGGAATACAGCACATGGTATCATGGGCTGTCTCCTGAGTTCGCTAGATGACATTGCGGGAGACCGCTGCCTCAGAAGAGCGAGAAATTTTTTTGGGATGACTCACACCCCGGCCAGCACCTCTTTAATCTCCTACCTTTGGGCGGGAGATACAGAAGTATAGTCAGCCACACCAACAGGTTAAAGAACAGTTTTTATCCGTGGGCTGTTAGGCTGCTGAATGGAAAAATAATAGTGGTGCAACTGACTTCCGACAAGCACACAGAGTGTGAACAGGACTAAGTGTATGTGGGGTGGGGTGAGGTGGAGGGGGGCTTGTTTAATTTCATTGCACACAGGTGGTGTAGTGACAATAAAGGTTTATTATTATTATTATTGTTATTGTTAGCTCTTTTCCTGTCTTCTGAAGTGTTATCTATCCCTCACAGGATTTTGTCATCTCCAAATTGATAAGGATTCTCTCCAACCTTTTGTCTCAGTGATCAATAAATATTTTGAGAAACAACACCTTCAAAACAAAGTCCTGAAGTATCACACTTGAAATATCCCCAAACTCTGACGAGAAGCTATCCATGTGTTCTGTTGTCCTACAAGTTCTCTATCCATCAGATTGTATAATCATCTAGCCCAGTGTTTCCCAACCTTTTTTGGGCAAAGGCACACTTGTTTCATGAAAAAAAATCTCGAGGCACACCACCATTAGAAAATGTTTAAAAAATTAACTCTGTGCCTATATTGACTATATATAAACTTTTACTTATGTAAAAAAATAAAAAAAAATAGTAACAGCATAGAAGGTAATGGTTAGGCCCTCTTCCAAATATGCTGGGTTTTTATTTGCAGGGACTGTTCTACATGGGAAAGCATTCAGCACTGTCATTCTCCCATCTGCCATCTGAATTGGTACTATTCTGGGTCAACTTACTCTGCTGCATGTGTAGATGAAAATGGCACCAAGTGTGGGGGAGGGGCAGAACAGGTTTCAGATACAGGATATTAAGCATACACGTACTTCAGATTGAACTGGTTGCTTGCTTTGCAAGTTTTCATTTCCCAAATGACTGCCTTGGCAAGCGCAATACCTACCAGGCTCAAGGCCGGTCTCGCGCTGCCGCTTCCTGCTCTCTCAAGGACCCGGGAGGAGGAAGGCGTGAAGGGAATCCCGAAGGCGCGAAAACCTCGCGCATGCGCAGGCCTTCCGCCTGCGACAGCCCAGTAGGCCGGCCGAAGCGAGCGGCGATGGGATGTGGGAGGGAGCTCTCTCGCCGCCCCGCGTGTGCCTATGTGGGGCACGTTACAGCCCCGTGACGTCAGCGCCACGCAGGCAGCCAGGCAGGCAGACGGCGAGAGCCCCGCGCTGGGCGGCCTCTCCTCGCCGCCGCCGCCCCGCCTCTCGCCGCCCGACTCGCCCGCCTCCCTCCCACGGCACACCAGGCAACGTCTCGCGGCACACTAGTGTGCCGCAGAACACCGGTTGGGAAACACTGATCTAGCCCATAATTCTCTCATTCAGTAACTAAAAATCATGGCGAACACTGTCGGAAAGTTTCCTGAATCCAAGATGGTGTACCATACTTGTGAAACCTCCATGCCCTCAGGCACACGACTTACCTGTGGAGTCTTGTGGTGAGCTGAAATGATGGCCATGTTGGCAGAGACTTCAGAGATACATCCCCCAATGAAAGCTATCAGATTGTTTTGGTTGTCACATTTGAAGTTGGGGACAAACCTATGTTCTGTGGAGAGCAGGCTGAGGGTGGCCTTGTAGGTCATCCTCGCAGTGTAGTAGCTATTGAGGATATGAAACCCCAGAGTATGAGGAATTGTGGCTCTGAAGGAGCCTGGGAAAGGGGAGACTAAGAGGAGATATGAAAGCCATCTTCAAATATCTCAAGGGCCGTCACATGGAAGATGGAGCAAGCTTGTTTTCTCCTGTTCTGGAGGGTAGGACTCAAACCAATGGATTCAAGTTACAATTTATATATTTCTGACTAAACATTAGGAAGAACTTTTTGACAGTAAGAGCTGTTCAACAGCGGAATGGCCTCCCTTGGGAAGTTGTGGACTCTTCTTCCTTGGAGGTTTTTAAGCAGAGGTTGGATGGATGCTTCAGCTGAGATGTTTGCATTGCAGGAGCTTGAATGAGATGACCCTTTGGGTCCCTTCCAACTTACAATTCCATAATTCTATGATTCTTTAACCTTTTCTCTTAAAAATGTGACAATTAAGACCACCTGTGCTTCAAGTGACAAAGCTGAATCAAGGAGCTCTCCCAGATTATGTACTATCCCTTCCGAGGGAGCCCAACCCCATCCAGAACAGGTAACTGATCTATCTCCAAGAAATGGGAACCACTCACTCACAAGGCCTCAGGCTTGCCAGTGTTTAAACTCAATTCAAGCTCCACCAACCTAGTATTGCACACAGATATTGATCCAGAGACTGGATGTCCACTCCTGATTAAGGTGTTAACAGGAAAGAAGAGTTGTGTGTCATCAGATGGCATTTTGTTTCTTATCCGCAAGATCTTTTCCATTGTCTGTTAAACAACTTTGAGGGAAAATAATGCCCATAACAGGAATCCTAATCTTGCGGTTAAGAACCACAAAAAACGCAGTGCCCATAGCACCCAATTCACTGAGGGGGTTCAGAAGGAAACCATGGCAGATCCTATCAAGGGCTACAGCAAGGTTAGGGAAAGGAGGACAAGAGAAAACACAATTAAGAGGAAGACAGTATAAATGAAAAACATTTGTTGGCCAACTCATTTTAAGTACAGTGGTACCTTGGGTTACATACTCTTCAGGTTACAGACACTTCAGGTTACAGACTCCGCTAACCCAGAAATAGTACCTCGGGTTAAGAACTTTGCTTCAGGATGAGAACAGAAATCGTGCTCCGGCGACGTGGCAGCAGCGGGAGGCCCCATTAGCTAAAGTGGCACTTCAGGTTAAGAACAATTTCAGGTTAAGAACGGACCTCCAGAACTAATTAAGTTCTTAACCCAAGGTACCACTGCACACAATTTCCATTCTCATCCTGGGGCAAAGTTCTCAACTTGAGAACTTCCAGGTTAGCAGAGTTTGTAACCTGAAGTGTTTGTAACCTGAGGCGTTTGTAACTCGAGGTACCACTGTATTCAATATCAAATGAGATTTGTAGACCACTGTCACCACTGCATTTATTAAAGTTTAATTTAGTTTGGGGAAGGTAGTGATCTGATGATGATGGGACCTTAGAGTGAGGGGAGGGTAATAAACAAACAAGCAAGCAAGCAAATATTAATGGGGTAACAGAAGTGACCTTTATTTTGGTGAAGGATCTGGGTGGGAAATAAGGGGTGGAGTATTGAAAGTACTCATTAATTGGACGGGTGTATCTTAACCAGCTTTTCATTTCCCCCCTCAGATATGGATGCTTGTATCAAATGCCCCGAAGACCAGTATCCCAGCAAGGACCACAGTCAATGCATTCCCAAAGTTCTAAGCTTCCTCTCTTACACAGAAAATTTAGGGATTATCCTGGTTACTTTGGCCATTTCTTTCTCTTTCATCACGATTCTAGTGCTGGGAAGTTTTATGAAACACAGGGACACACCCATAGTCAAGGCCAATAACCGGTCCCTGACTTACATCCTCCTCGTTTCCCTTCTTCTTTGCTTCCTCTCCACTTTGCTCTTCATTGGACAGCCAGGAGAAGGGATCTGCTTTCTACGCCAAATGGTCTTTGGCATTGTCTTCTCTGTGGCTCTTTCTTGTGTCTTGGCAAAGACTGTAACGGTGGTTCTGGCATTCATGGCAACCAAACCAGGATCTGGGATGAGGAAATGGGTGGGGAAAAGACTGGCAAATTCAATTGTCCTCGTCTGCACCTTCATTCAAGCTGGCATTTGTATCCTGTGGTTAAGTACTTCCCCTCCATTCCCAGATTCGGACATGCACTCATTGAATGGGAAAATAATCTTGGAATGTAATGAGGGTTCAGCAACCATGTTTTATTGTGTCTTGGGCTATATGGGCTCCCTAGCCGTAATCAGTTTCGTTGTGGCTTTTCCGGCCAGGAAATTACCTGACAGTTTCAATGAGGCCAAATTTATCACTTTCAGCATGTTGGTGTTTTGCAGTGTTTGGTTGTCCTTTGTTCCAACCTACCTGAGCACCAAAGGAAAATACATGGTGGCTGTGGAGATCTTCTCCATCTTGGCCTCCAGTGCTGGATTACTGGGTTGCATCTTTTCTCCTAAATGCTACATAATTTTATTCAGGCCTGATCTGAACAGTAGAGAGCAAATAATGGCCAGAAAAAGTGAGAGAATGTAAGTTCATCTGTTTATTAAGCTCACTTAAAAATTCACTGGAAATTCCATCTCATGAAATTTTTAGTATTAGTGCTTTGATAGAGAGAGATCATTGCTCAAATGTGGCCTTCTTGTGAGTACAGTTTTACTGGACAAACATTATCACAGGTCAATGCCCTGTTTTGATTTGGCTTACATAAATAAATGTAAACTTGACTTTGGCTATCAATAAATTGAGGATTATGAAAACATAGTAGTGCTGGTATCTATTTTGACCAGTGAAACTGGGATTTGTAGTTCATATTCAAGAACTGCTGTTGGGATCTTGGTCTCCATGTTGAGTTATCTTCTCTACTTGGGCATGAGACTATATAACAGGGAGCAGCAAATAAGGAAAAGGAAAAGAGGATAACCACAATAAAACAATAGTTGCACAACTCAGAAAAGATATCCTACGAGCTTTGTATTGAATAATGGCCACTTCAGAGGCCAAAAACACACTTGGGAAATTACAATCATTCCTATCATTGTCAAAATTACTGTTTTCTGTCTTGTGACACAATTGCCACCCGGAGCCTGTAAGAAAAATAAAAAATAAGCATATTGAAAAACCTATACAATTCCTGTGTTATTCAGAACTGGATCTAGGGATATGTAGGGTATTTTCATTCTTCTGCATAACCACTTTCCCATTGATTTTTAACAAATAAAGTATGCTGTGAGTATCCTGGTTCCTCATATATTCTCCTGCTTGCCCTGTTTATTTTCTGCTTCCCAGATTCTTACTGTGGAAAACTGAACCTCATTGACCAATATAGAATAGCACACATGCCCTGTAATTTGCATACCCGTCTTTTGGGGGAAACAGGCTGAGAATTCACAAAGTTTGCATTTGGATTCCTTTTGCTCACCACAGCAAAATTACTGGCGCCTGACCTGTAGAGACACATATTAAGTTGTTTACAAATCATTTTTAAAAATTTGCTCATTCTTAGAAGATAAAGGGGGGAGATAAAGAAAATACACGGTTTCGGGAAATTAACCATGGACCAGGAGGCGAAATGAAATAAAGTAGCAGGATTCTGGTACCCAGATTCCCTAAATAGCCATGCTGCAAATCTGTGTAGCAGCAACACCATCTACCCATTCAGGGAAGGCTGTAGAAAAGCTGAAAAACAGCCACATTGAATTCTGCAACTGGAATCATGGGAAAACAGCTTTGGAAGGGGAGTTTCATCAACAGAATCTTGCTTGTGGTGATGTTGCTGCTCGTTCTACCGCGTCATACAGTATGCAATGCACATTCTATTAATTGCAGCATATATGATGATCCCCTCCCTATTCCTCATGAATTTTACCAGCCAGGAGGCATTGTCATTGGTGAGATTGTTTCTCAAGTCTTTGTCCTCTCTAATACGCTCTCTTTCATGGAACAGCCTGCCCAGATCACAATTGACGAACCTGTGTAAGGCATCAATATTTCTCACACAATTTGAAAATATGTATGAATTGTAATTATTCAGAACATATCCTTAAGGAATGATGTGCTTTATTGATCTTTTGATGTAAAAAAAGTGATGCTTGGATTGTTAATATGTGTGTGATACCTTCTACAATGTCTTGTTGGGCATCAACCGCTAGTGTGTTTCCTCCAGAAATCTTACAGAAATGAATGGATCGTGTGCATTTCTGTATCTCAGCTGGAGCAGGACCCTCTCATACAATATATTTGCTTCTAAGGTGGTTATCTGGCAAGGAGCATTTATCTTCTTTCTGTTTGTCATTTATTCATGCTACATTTTTAAATTTATTTCCAAACTGCTAGAAGTCCTATTCCTTTTTAAATGAGTGGCAAAATGAGGAAACCTTAAAACCAGTGCTATTTTTCTAGAAAAAGAGGTGCCAGAACTCACCATAAGTGTCTTGTTCTCTTAGAATGGCAATGGCGCCCACCTGAGAGGTGCCAGAACTGAGTTCCAGTGAGTTCTGGCTGGAAAAAGTCCTGCTGAAAACTATTTCATTTCTGCTCTCACTATACTTTGTTGTCTTACATCCTTGATCTCAGCCCTTCCCTTGCCATTTCAGACTTCAGGTATTTCTGACATTTGGTTTCATATTGTTATATTTTAGAGAAATGAATATGTTTCTTATTCCTGTTCTAACACATCTATTTTTCAAAGCTTACTCTCTCACATCATACAGGGAGAAACATAGGACTATTGATGCAATACTTAACAGACTTTAGAGGGTCAAAGCAAACATAACCCTCTTATGGAAGTATTGTTAGATGGGCCAATGTTTACAAAAGAAACTTGTCCCTATTTCTAGTTCATACTTTTTTATTTAGAATCATAGAATTGTAAAGTTGCAGGGGACCATGAGGGTCATCTAGACCAGCCCCTGCCATGCAGGAGTCTCATGCTCAACCTACTAAGTTATCCAGCAGACATTCACAACTACAGTTTAAAAGTGTGCATACTAAATACGGTACTGCCCCTTTTTAAAGGTGATTTGTGAATTGACTCCAGTACAGTACAATAGTATCTGGAAAAAGAATTTCATTGTACTTTCCACTTGTAATATTTTATTAAGCATTAAAAAATCCTGGAACTGTATGAGCATTTGTATCATTAATTGATTGGAGAAATATTTATTTCATAAGGTCTTATTTTTGTACTTTGGTATATAATCTTGTGCAGTTATAAACTACAGTTTAATCCTAGAAACCTGTAGAGACGTGATGATGAAGTGCACAAGTTGTTGTTGTTGTTGTTATGGCTGTGGTTTTATTAAACAGCTGGTACTTTTCTTGCAGATCAGTGCCAAAGGACTACCAGCATGTTCTGGCCTTAGCATTTGCTGTCAAAGAAATCAATGAGAATCCCAACATCTTATCCAATATCTCTCT